AGGCACTGGCGGGAGAAGGGAGACGATGCGTGCTCCCTGTCCCCACAGAGATCTCAGTCCAGCGCAAGAGACAGGCACGAGCAGCGACAGCTCCCATCCGATGTGACCAGAGCAGAGGATGTGATGGCAGGAGGGACACCCAACCCACCCTTGGAGTTAAGCAGGGCCAGTTTAGTGGAGACCTGCAGGCTGACTAGGAGGCGGCCAGGGCAGCGGAGTGTGCTACGGGCAGGGGACAGACACAGGGCTGCACGGGGTCTGAGGAACTCTAAAAAGGCCCGTATGGCCGCATCAGAACATGCAAAAGGGTCACTGGAGAAAGTGAGAGAAGCTGGCAGGGCCGACGACGGCCTGTGGATGATGCGAGTGAGTGTGACACTGCTCCTACGAGCAGAGGGGAAGCCAGGGAAGGCTTTGAAGCAAACGAGCGATGTCATCAGATGTGCAGGTCACAAAGGTAATTCCAGCTCCGAGGTGGAGAGCTGATGGCTGGAGAGGAGCGGGACAAAGCTGAGGCAGAGAGGAGAGTCCCAGAAACCCCAGGGAGAAACGACAGGGACCAGACTAGGACGGGGCAGAGGGGGACGAGTGGATTCAAGGTAAGAAAGAGGCGGGCGGGACTGATGCCACCCGGTGACCTTCCTGAGCGGGGGACGACTCAGCCCTCACACCCGCCCAGCCTCGCCTCCATCCTGCCACGGTACCAAGCCCGGCCCCCTCCTCCAAATTACAAAGCGAGAATCTCACTCGGCCCACTCGGCCCTGTTGTCCCAGTTCCTCTGGCAAAGAAGGAAGAAGAGAGAACAGGAAACATGTGGCCCAAGTGGCCCAAGTCGGGGGAATCCCACTGCGAGGGGAAGTGGTGGTGGTCAGCCCCCACCGCCCCCCCCAACACTGCAGCCGCGGGGCCTGACCTGCAAGGCCCGGGTGGGCTGGCAGCTCAGTCTGGGATCTGGAAGTTGTCTCTGCACGTGCCTTCCCCCGCCGCTCCCTCCGGCCAGACTGTCAGAACACACACGCCCCCCAGGACTGTTCTGAGACACGGGTGCCACCTCTGCTCCGGCTGTTCCCTCTCTCCAGCCAGGCACCTCTCAAAGGCTCCCCGCAAGCCTCAGCATCTCGGCCCTCCCAGGAGCTGACGCCTCTGTGTCCCACGGCTGACCGTTCCGTCCCAGCCCCCAGGGAAGGGCTCCCATTCCCAGCCAGCCGAGCTTCTCCACGCTCCTCCTTCGCGAGCCCCCGCAGGTCCTGGCAGGTCCCCACGCATCCCGCCAGCCCCCTGTGAGGCTGGGAGCGGGCAGGGGCCAGTTCTACACCTCCGCTGCTGCCATCATACTTGTGGCAGCTCCCTGTCACTGCTCCTACATGAACGTCCAGTGGGGATTCCCCCAAGAGGTTCCTCCTGTCCACAAGCTCGCCTTCCCAGACGCGCCACAGATCACGGGCAGAGCCACACAACCAACCGCTCCACCTCCGTGGAACGTACAGAGTTCTCTGCAGCCTACTGTGCAAACCAGCCTCCTGTTGGCCTGGAAGTTTCTGAAGGGCTGAGACCACATCGCCCGCTTCTCGGAATGCCCCCACCTGGCAAAGGCCTGCTTGTTAGCAGACCACATCTACGCCACCTCCCTGCGCCAATCTTTGGGTGCCTCCTGGCGGGACCCCACGAGGGCTGCCTTTCCACCCGCACTGACGGGGCACTGACTGCACGGCGGTCCTGTGCCAGGAGCCACTGCACTCGGCGGTCTGGAGAAAAGGTACTCAGAGAGCATCCGGAAAATGTGACACAGTCGGGGCCTTAGGCGATCCCACCGGAGAAGTCACACCTCCGTCAGCACTAAGTGCTCCTGCAAAGGCGTGTAAAACGAGGTGCTGCTGATGAGGGTGCAAACGTGGAGCAACCCGGCAGACCCTTCTTATCACCATCTTATACATGCGTCTCCTCCGCTATGCCCCCCTCTCCTCTGCTCGATCCTCACACGGAACATAAGATAAGGATACTCGTGGCAGCCGTTTCTGATGGGGGAAAACCGGAAACAACCTAAAAGCCCACCAATAGAGATCAAACTAAAGGAGCTATGGTACAAACACCCAGTGGAACTCAGTCATCAAAAGTAACGAAAAGAGCTCTCTGTGTGATGTCAAAGGAACACCAAGACACGTGAGTATGTGAAAAAGTCGCAAAATGATACATACGACGTGATCTGCTATATTACACACACAGCAGAACCACTTCATGGCAGCGAGGTTGGGGAGGAGAGCCGGAGAAAAGAGCAGGTAAGGGACAGACAGGGATTTCTCCTGTTAGCTCATAAATGTACATGTACACGTACACACAAACACACTTCCGGGATCTCCAAATTTTCCCTACTGTCACAGAACAAAAGAAAACAAAAGTACAAAGCAAAGGATGCCGGAGCCCAGACAAGGAGAGCCTAACTGGGTGCCATCCACGAGTTTTCTCTCAAACTCCCAGAAAGGCCACTAAGTGAGAATAACACACATCTTTTCTCTCGTTAGTCTCACAGATGAGAAGGTGTGTGGTGGGTGCCGTAGGGCGCACCAGCGTGAAGTCTGAGAGCCAGATTCAACCCGAGGTCTGCCATGTCTGTGTGGATGACCCCGGGGAGGCCACTGAGCATCCTGGAACAGTCTGCTCATCTGTACTGGGCGGCAGAGAGGCAGAGAGTGGGCGCTTGAAAGTCCCCAGACCAGCCCCGCCCCACATGGGCTGTGATCCCAGGTAGATCACGGACCGTCTCAAAGTCTCTGTCACCTCTTCTGATAATCAAAAAAAAAAAAAGGAGGGGGGCATATTACTCACCTTTCCAGAATGTGGCAAGGATTAAATGATACCCTGCATCTAAAGCACTCAATCCAGGGCCTGGCACATAATTCGAGCTCAATAAATAGCAGCTGCTAGCATTTTTGCTGAGAGGGCAATGACATTGGCGCTGCCCACATAAAGGGGTATTGAGAAGCTCTGATGAGATGTACCCTGGGAAAGAGCTCCGGAAGTAGAGAGCGGACGCAAAAGCGACAGGCACTTACATAAGGATTCCTCTCCCACCCCAACCCCAAGCCTCAGCTGCCACCCGGCTAAGATCCCTCCCAGGAGGGGGAAACTGCGGAATCTTCTCTTTATTCTTCCTATACACAAAGTCCTAGTCAGATATTTATTTCAGTCCCCAACTCACCCAGCTAGGAAACAGCAAATCAGAAGGGGACAGACGGGCTGTGAGAAGAAGGTCCTGACTGGTGCTAGTAAAACCCCAGCCCGGAACCCTCAGACTCCTCGCTGCCCATCCCTGGACCCCTTAAACTCTCACGACTCTGATGCTCAGGCTCCTCCAGCAAATGTCTGCCAAGGCAGCCACACTTCTCAAGGTCACAAAACCCAACCCCGCTCCTTAGACTTCCCCAAACATCACCCCACGGCACATCCATCTTCCAAGCTACTCCACGAACCATGAGGTCCTTTCCTGGAAACTTCCACAAACACATTACCTCCCCTCCCCCCCCCCCCCCCCCCCCCCCCCCCCCCCCCCGAGATGCTTTCCTCCCACTGCCGTCCCGCTCTGCAAAATGCTGCCCCTGCCAGCCTCCAGGTACCCCCGGCTTCCTCCTCACCGTCCCCATCCCACGGTGGACATGCCTGACCCCTCGCACTCCAGTTCAGGGTCCCACCTGACGTCCAACACACACCCCCATCTCAGGGCTGCAGCCCCCACTCCTCCGCACCCCCAAACCGGAGTTCCCGCTCTCCAGCTCTCCCACCCAGGCTCCCGGGGCAAGTCGTGGCCCTGTCCGCACTTCCAGCCCGGGGACCCCTCCCTGCCCTCGCTACCCACCCATGCCAGGGCTGTCCAAAGTTTCCTCCTCGGAAGGGAGGGCACACCCTTCCATCCTGGGGCCCCTCCAGACCCTCCGCTCTCCCGGAGTCCTCCCACAGCCATCTTTCAGTTCCTGTCTCCAAACGCTCCGAAACACAGTCCTTCCCAGGCTCCCCGACTTCCTCTCCGGACTCAGGCCGGTTCGCCGCCCGGATCGGCTCTCGCTCTCGGCGGGTCCCCGACGCCCCCTCTCTCCCACCTGGAGCCCATCGGGCTCCACCTCCAAGCGCACCTGGTGGGGGCCGGGGGCTGGTGTCCCGGCAATCGCCGAGCTTTCGCAGTCTCCAACTCCTTCTCCATCACCCGCCGACTCCTGCATGCCCCCCTCGACTCCTCCATCCCCCTTGGCTGAGTTCTCCGGGGCTCCCCCGGACCTCCCTCTCCGGGACCCCCCTGTCGGCCCGCCCACTCCCACTCCCACTCCCAGCCGCCGCCGATCCCCTTCGCCTTCTTCCGCTCGGCCCGGCCGGCCCCTCCCGCCCCGGGGCCCCTTCCGCCTCGAGCCGCCCCGGGGCCCCAGGGCCCCTCGGCCGGTCCTCACCCCTCCCGGGCCGCCGCGGCCCCCCGCCCCCCCGGCCGTCCCGGCGGCCATTGCTCCAAGATGGCGGCGGCGGCGGCGGCGGGTGAGGCCGGGCCGGGCCGGACCGGGCGGGGGGTGGGGGTCCCGGGGCGGCGCCCACCTGCAGCTCGGCGCGCTCGGCCTCCCAGCGGGCCTTCTCGGCTTCGAAGCGCGCCCACTCGTGCTGGATAAAGTGCAGGATCCCGGGCAGGCTCAGCGGCTCCGGCCCCGCCGTGGGCCCGGGGCTGCCGCCGCCGCCGCCGCCGCCGCCTCCCTTACCAGCCGGGCCGGGCCCGGGGGATGGGGCAGGGGCCGGGGCCGCCCCCGTCGGGCCGGGGCCCGCGCCGGAGCCGAGCGGGCGGCAGGAGGCGGCGGCGGCGGCGACCGCGGCGGCCGCTCGCTCCTCCATCATGGAGGCCCCGGGGCCGGCCCGCGCGCCCGCCGTGCCTCGCGCGCCTGCGCGGCCGCGCCACCCACCCCCCCCCCCTTGCGCGCGCCCGCCGGGGGCCTGGGGGGGCCGGGCACGGGGACGAGGCCGGGCGCGCGCCTCGCCCACCCGGGTCGACCCCGACGGCGCGTGCGCGCGCTGGGAGGGGGGCGGGAAGGGGCAGGACGGGGACGCGCGCCCCGGGCCCCGCGCGAGGGTCGCACCTGGGAAGAGCGGGACTTCGGAGGGGCCTGCTTCCTGCCCCCCTCCTCTCTCTTCACCCCAAAGAAAGACTCTAACCCTCTCCAGCCCCCAATCCCACTCTCCTCGACCATCACGCTTTGAGAGAAAGGGCGACACCGTGGGGAGGGGGTTCAGCAGTAGCCCCATCCTCTCTGATTCCTGGCCTGGAGCCTGGAACGCCCCCAGCCTCCCCTCCCCTCCACCTCTGTGGTTCTGTAGCCCCAAACCTCTCCTGTACCTGCGCCAGGAGGAGGTTGCTAAGGTAACCCAAGTCCCTGGTGGTCCTCCTGCCCCTCCCCTCATTGGTTACTATGACAACCTCACCTAGCACTCAGGTAAAAAGGGCCCCAGCCCCAAGGACACTGATGCTGAGGCAAATACCTCTTTCCTAGCCCCTCCCCCCAGCTACTCTGTTGGCATTACCATGGTAACCATCTCCCCCTTTCCCATCGTGGGAAAGTCCATAGACCAAACCAACCAGGTGTTTTTATTTAGAGGAGATGCTCTGCTGAGGAGTAGTTGCTATGGTTACAGAGCCTGGACCATCCCCAGGGAGGTGAGAAAGCGGCAAGGCCAAGCCCTGGTTACTATGGGAATGGGGGCAGTCTGCCTTCCAGTGACCCTTGGAACCAGGCCACCCACCAAGGTAGGGGATGCTTGATGGTTGTCTCAGGATAGAGTGTGTCCAGGGAAGGAGTTGTCATGGTAACACCTTCTGTCACTTCCAGCCCTACCTTTCTGGACACATTCATGAGAGAGGGATGGTTATAGGTTGCTATGAAAACTGACATCCTTCCCTCCCACTCCTAAGATGCTCCAGGTGGTACCTGAGCTTGTCGGACTTCAGAAGAAATGATTCCCTGACCTTCTCATTGCCCCTTTTGTAGATAAGATGAAATTGTGCTCTATTGTGTGAAATTGGCTGATTTGAGGTTTCCCGGTTCTCCTTCCCTCAGCAGTGCAGCCGAGTGGGGCTGGAACCGCCCCCCTGGAGCTCCCCGGCCAGCAACCTAGGAGGTAAGAAGTCCCCCCGTGTCACCAGCACTCATGTCGAAACTGCCCTTTCCTTGTCCCCAAAGGCTTTCCCCCCATCGCTCATTTTCTCTGCTTGTGACATGCTCATTCTACAGATGCAGCAACTGAGGCTCAGGCCAGGTGAACCCAGGCCTGAAGTGACTGGATCCACTTCCACTGTTTTGGGGGCAATGGAGAGACGGCTTAACTGTCTTCTTCATTGATCACCTTTTCTCTATGATGCCCCCTGCTGGTGTCCTGCCCTCTCTAGAAGTTGTTTGTGTGGTTTTGTCTGTCTTCCTACCGCTGGCGGGCCTGCCCATGACTGCTTCCTTCATCGCGTGTCCCCAGAACACAGGGTCTAGAACAGAGAGCGCTCAGGAAACATCTGTTTGTTGAGTTAATGAGTTGGATAATGCATTCACATGCCACATTCAGCTCTGAAAGCGCCCATGAGGTTAGGGCTGGGGAAAGCTCACTGAAGATGGACTGAGAATTGGGCTAAGTGGACCCAAGAGACACAGCAGTTTATTGGTCGAAAGCTCCAATCTGGAATCAGCTTCCTGGGTCAAATCCTGGACCCACTGCTTCCCAGCTGTGTGACCTTGAGCCAGTGACTTCACCTCTCTGTGCCTCAGTTTCCTCATCTTTACATGCGATCATAACCTGAAGATTAAACAAAGTTAAGATGTGTAAAGTGCTTAGAACAGGGTCTGGCACGTCATGAGCGGCTAGAATTGTTGACATGTTATCATCCTATCGTGATTCAGAAAAACATAGAGCATTCAGACCTTCAAAATCATCCTTTCTTCCATTTTTCCCCAGTGAAGAGGTTTTGAGCCCTTACAGTTGGGGAAGCCAAGACCGACCTTGTTAGGGTACTAGATGGTTCCTTTCTGTTCCTTCCCTGGTCCCCTCACCTCCTTGTCTGGCTCTCATACCCACTGGTCTCTGATGCCCCTGCTGGGCACCTCCTGGCCCCGAGTCAGCCAGACAGAGCACAACGAGAGGGCCTGGGAGCGGAGACCTGGCTTCTGCCACCTGCCTCCTTTCTGTCCCTGAGCCACAGGCCCCCCATCTGAACAATTGGAGCCCCTCACCCATTCCGCAGAAAGTTATCGAGCATCTGCTGTGTGCCGGGCACGAGCTGTGCACTGGGCATCCAGCAGGGGACAAAAACAAGGAAACAATAAATAAGAAAGTAAAATCTACGTGATGACCAGTAGGGGAGAAAGATTGTGCAGGGATGGAGCAGAGAAAGGGCGTGATAGGGAGGTGCGTCTTTAAATAGGGGGGCCCAAGGAAGGCCTCACAGACAGGTGACATTGGAGGAAAGACCTGAAGGCCGTGGGGGGAGCCATGGGGATACCTGGGCACCCAGGCAGAGGGGACGGCGGCGCTGCGGCTGAGTGTCCTGGGTGTATGTGAAACATGGCCTTTGGTGGCCTGTGTGGCTGGGGCTGAGTGACCGAGTGCGAGAGGGTGGGGGACCAGGTGGGGCCTCATGGGCCACCATCAAGGCCTTGGCTGTTCCTTCGAGTGAGTTCTGAGCCACAGAAGGGTTTGAGCAGACGGAGGACAGGATCTAATTCGAGTTTTAACCAGCTCCCTTGGGCCCTAGGGGATGAGAGTGGGGCAGGAAGATGGTCTCTTTAGAATCTTTAGAAGATTCTAATGCCATCTAAGGGTCTCTTCTGTGCATCTGTGTGCCTGATTCTACGATTCTAAGATTTTTAAGACCCTGGAGGTTCTGTGGTTCCAAAGGTCCCTGTCCCCACAATAATGTGAGTTCCGTGGGCTCAGGGGTGTGTCTGTCTCTGTGTGTCGTGTGTCCACTGCTGTGTCCCCCGTGCCGAGAACAGTGCCTGGCAGGTTGTAGGAGCTCCACAAATAGACCCTGAAGGACTGAAGGAAGCAGGACTTGATCTCAGGTCCAGAAGTCAATTCTAAGGTCTAAAGATTAACAAGATGCTCTTAAAGTGCAACTCCGCTTCTCAAGTGCCGGCCGAGCTGGGTCGGAGAAGGGCGGGCAGGACTGGGATGGGTGAGGAGGGGTGGAGGGCATTCCTGGTAGGAGAGAAAGGAGGCGGGAGGACCAGGACAGGGCCCAGGCACATGGCCATGGTGCGGAGTGTGGCTCCGGGCCCTGAGTGGGCTCTGCCGACACACAAACCCTGCCCCTGGCTGTCCTCTGCTCGCCGGGTGCATTTTCAGTGCCCAGCTGTGTGCCAGGAACACAGCGGTGATCGAGACAGCCCTGGCTCTACCCTCCCAGACCTCACAGTCTAGCGGGGCGGGCAAACCCATCCCCAGACAGTGCTGCCCCAGAATGGGCAGGGCTGGAACATGGCAGCCTAGGGGCTTCGAGAGCCCAGAGGGGACTTGTGACCTAGCCTGGGGCTCAGGGAAGGCTTCCTGAAGGAGGGGCCATCTGTGCCGAGGCCTGAAGCATGAATAGGAGTCCTCCAGGAGAAAAAAGGCACAGGGAAAAGGGGTGTTTGAGAGGAGATTCTTCCACGCAGAAGGAACAGAATATGCAAAGGCTTAAAATAAGACCTGTTGGAGGAACAGTCCACAGTGGCTTGGGCATAGAGTTTGAGGAGGCATGGCTGGAGATGGGGCTGGAATGGTGGGCGGGCAAGGGCCAGGTCACACAAGGCCTTATGGGATGTTGCAAGAAACGTAAACTTTCTCCCCAGGGCACTGGGGAGCCATGGCAGGTTCTAAGCAGTGGGGGGAGAGGTCAGATTTGTGCTTTATGAAGACTTCTCTGGCTGCCATGAGGAGGGGACTTGGTCTGGAGACCAGGGGAAGGCTGAGTGGGGATCTGGGTGAACCCAGGTTGAGGGGGGAGCTGTGGGAATGGGGAGGAGGGGTCAGCAGTATTGAGGGACTAGGAAGATCAGCTGGGTCTCTGCTGTCCCCCTCCCTGGAAGGATAGAAACCTATGAAAATCCTTCAGGGGGAAGCTTTTTTTGAGTGTCTGCTCAGAGCCCAGACAGAGTTAGTTACACTTACTGTACTGGAGACCAGCCAAATCTCCACGTTGTGGGGGGACAGGGAGACAGCGCCATCTGGGGGTTGCTTAGGAGGGTGGCCAATGAAGGGGGGGCGTGTCCCAGGGCCGGCAGCCTTTTTGATGCAGTCCAGTCCACTTTAAAAAAATTGTTTTTAATTGTGATAAAATACACATAATAAAATCTATCATCTTAATTTTAAGTAGATAGTTCAGTGGCGTTAAGTGGATTCACGTTATGGCGCAACTAATCTCCAGAACTTTTTCCTCTTGCAAAATTGGAACTCTGTACCAATTAAACTACAACTCCCCATTTCCCCCTCCCCCAGCCCCTGGCCACCACCATTCCACTTTCTGTCGCTGTAAGTTTGACCCATTCCATTAAAAAAAAAAAAAAGAATTAGTGGCCAACACTAAGAACTGGGAGAATTGTAAGGCAAGAAAACATTTCTGGCTTTTCTTGCAAAGCCAAAACGATCCAGCTGACCATCAGGAAAGAGGTGGCCAGAGGCACAGGGTCTGAGGAAGTGGGAAGGGACAGCGGGGGAGGGTTTGGTGGCCAGGCTGAGGCTGCAGCATCCCGTGGCCCTGGGGCCAGGCCAGGGGGGAGGGGAGGTCAGGGGAGTGGTAGAGCAGAAGGTGCAGGTTGGGTCTGGGGCTGGGGCTGGTGCGTCTATAAGGGAAGCGGAATCTGGGTGAGCAGTTGACAGCGAGTAGAGGGGTGGGACTGCTCAAGAAGGGGAGGTGGTTCATTTGATAAAAATTTACTAACACCTGGTGGGTACCCGGCTCTGTGCTGGGCCCCCTTGGGGACCTAGCAGTGACCAAGACAGGCTCAGGACCTGCCCTCATGGGTCTCACAATGCAGTGGGAGGACACAGACCGGTCCCTATTCGGTATGACTTAGAGTGGTTGGGCCAGGGTGGGGGAACCCAGGGGACCGAAGGAGCCCAGAGCGGGTGTGTGACCCAGCCTGGGAAGTCAAGGAGGGCTTCCTGGAAGAGGGGAAGTCAGAGCTGAAGCCAGATAGGGAAAGGGCTGGGAGAGAGGGCAAGGCTGAGGATGGGGCGGGGCGGGGGTCTGACAACCAGCCCCACCTCGCCTCTCATTTCCCCCTCTCCAGGATGCCCTGGAGGTCCAGCTAGGGCCTGACTTCGGCCCCATGCGGCTCACGCGCTGCCAGGCTGCCCTGGCGGCCGCCATCACCCTTAACCTCCTGGTCCTCTTCTACGTCTCGTGGCTGCAGCAGCAGCCCAGGAACTTCCGGGCCCGGGGGCCCCGCCGTGGATCTGCCACCGGCCCCCGCGTCACCATCCTGGTGCGGGAGTTCGAGGCCTTCGACAACGCGGTGCCCGAGCTGGTGGACTCGTTCCTGCAGCAGGACCCAGGCCAGCCGGTGGTGGTGGCAGCCGACACGCTCCCCTACCCACCCCTGGCCCTGCCGCGCATCCCCAACGTTCGCCTGGCGCTGCTCCAGCCCGCGCTGGACCGGCCGGCCGCGGCCTCGCGCCTCGAGACCTACGTGGCCACCGAGTTCGTGGCGCTGGTGCCCGACGGGGCGAGGGCCGACGCACCGGGCCAGCTGGAGCGCATGGTGGAGATGCTCCGGGCGGGAGGCGCACGCCTGGTGGCCGCCCCGGTCGCCTCGGCCAACCCTGCCCGGTGCCTGGCCCTGAACGTCAGCCTGCGGGAGTGGACGGCCCGCTACGGCCCGGCCCCCGCCGCGCCCCGCTGCGACGCCCTGGACGGGGATGCCGTGGTGCTGCTGCGCGCCCGCGACCTCTTCAACCTCTCGGCTCCCCTGGCGCGGCCGGTGAGCACGGGCCTCTTCCTGCAGACCGCCCTGCGCGGCTGGCCGGTGCAGCTGCTGGACGTGCCCTTCCCGGCGGCGCGCCAGCCCCCGCTCGCCACGGCCCACGCGCGCTGGAAGGCGGAGCGCGAGGCGCGCGCGCGGCGGGCGGCTCTGCTGCGGGCGCTGGGCATCCGCCTGGTGCGCTGGGAGGGCGGGCAGCTCGAGTGGTTCGGCTGCAGCAAGGAGACCCCGCGCTGCTTCGGGACGGTGGTGGGCGACACACCGGCCTACCTGTACGAGGAGCGCTGGACGCCCCCGTGCTGCCTGCGTGCGCTCCGGGAGACCGCGCGCTACGTGGTGGGCGTGCTGGAGGCGGCGGGCGTGCGCTACTGGCTGGAGGGCGGCTCGCTGCTGGGGGCGGCCCGCCACGGCGACATCATCCCGTGGGACTACGACGTGGACCTGGGCATCTACCTGGAGGACGTGGGCAACTGCGAGCAGCTGCGGGGTGCCGAGGCGGGCTCGGTGGTGGACGAGCGCGGCTTCGTGTGGGAGAAGGCGGTGGAGGGCGACTTCTTCCGCGTGCAGTACAGCGAGAGCAACCATCTGCACGTGGACCTGTGGCCCTTCTACCCCCGCAACGGGGTCATGACTAAGGACACGTGGCTGGACCACCGGCAGGACGTCGAGTTCCCCGAACACTTCCTGCAGCCTCTCGTGCCCCTGCCCTTTGCCGGCTTCGTGGCGCAGGCGCCCAACAACTACCGCCGCTTCCTGGAGCTCAAGTTCGGCCCCGGGGTCATCGAGAACCCCGAGTACCCCAACCCCGCGCTCCTGAGTCTGGCAGGAGGCGGCTGAAGCCCTGCCCCCCGCGCCCGCGCTCAGGGGAACATTCGGGCACGGGGAGCTGTCCTTTGTCTCGGTGCCGCCGGCGCTTGATGGGCGGCGCAGGGATGCCAGGCCGCCCTGCAGGGCCCAGCACAGTCCGGACATCAGAGACGTGCCCTGCTCAAGATTTCCAAGAACCCGGGCTCCCGGGCTGGGACAGAGTTTTGGAAAGAGAGAGAGAAAGAGTGTAGGTTCTGGGGCCCTCCTGTCGCGAATGAGACCCCAGCTCTCCCACTTACTAGGTACCTGGGCCTGGGCGAGGGTCCCAGTTTCTCTGTGCCTCAGTTTCCTCCAGGATTCAGTGAGTACCCTCCGTGTCTGGCGCGGAACGAGCCTCAGGACACCTGGCTGCTGGGGTCGCTTGTGCCACTAGAGGCCGCCCTTGTGCTACCGTGGGGACCTGCGTTCCGTCGCTGCCGCGTCTGGAGCCCTTGGTGGCCCAGGACAGGGTGACGATCTCCTTGATCTGCCTTCTGCCAGTTCTTCCAGAACGCGGCCTCCCCCCCTCCTGGGAGAGCTGCGGGGTGCATGCTGCGCTTAACCCCATCTTGCCCGGGAGGAAAGAGGCTCGGAGCTCTGCGGTGCTGCTGGGGAGAAGAACCGAGTTGGGATCCCGGCTCCGCTCCTTGGCTGTGTGACCTCGTTATTTTAGCTCTCTGCACCCGTTTCCCCACTTGCAAGGCGGGGTACCCCATAACCATAGCTCACGTTTACTGAGCACCGACTGTATACCATTCGTCCTTCTCAGTGTTTCACACGGATTAACCGATCCCACACCTCGACCCTCCAAGGGGAGGGGCTGCTCTTATTTGCATTTTGCTGGTGAGGAAACTGAGGCCAGCATGGTGAAGTCGCTTGCTGAAGGTCAGACAGCTTAGGAAGTGGCAGCGTGGGGGCTTGAACCCCGGGTGGCCGTGGAGCCCACATGAAGCCGCCCAGTCTGCCCCTGTCTGGTAAGGGTAGGGGACGGGGGCCTCCGGGACAAGGGTGGGCAGCCTTCCTAGTGTAGTCATGCACCTGAGAGTAAATAGCCTTTGGGCATGCGCCCTCAGGATGTGTGTTTATTTATAAATTATATCCAGGTACTACTGTCATTCTGTATATTAGTAATAAGGCTTAAATTATTCCATTTTTAAAATAAAGATAAATAGGGTTTTGTCTGCTCGCCTCATCCCAGTGGCTTGTCCTGCACAGCGCCCGCTCCTCCGCTGTGGGCTGGGGGCCACCGTGACTCTCCTCTGCACCCCTGCTTCCAACCTGGGAAATGGGGGTGGTGGTGGCCCTCACCCCGCAGGCTGCTGGGAGGCGCTTGAGTGGTGAAGGGGTCCGAGTCAGGGCTGGGTTTGGCTCCTGGCTTGGCCGCTTACTTTCTTTGTGACCTTAGGCAAGTGGCTGCCTCTCTGAACCTCTAGATTGAGGCTGGGGGTGGGGTGGTGATATTGCAAAAGGGTAAAACCCTCATGGGAAGGGGCCTTCACAGGCCAGTGAGACAAGAAAGAAGAGAACTTAGCCCAATTTCCTGAGACTCAGACATCCACAGCCAGACCTCATAACCCAGCCTCTGTTTTTAACCATTGGACCCGCAAATGGCTCACAAAGAGACTGTTGTTGGCTTCCCATGGAACATTCTGGAAGCATATAGGGACAATTTGGCTTATCGCTGTGATTGGGCGGTGCTTCTGGCTCTTGGAAGGCGTGGCCCAGGGATGGAGATGTCTTATGCCATATGCCACGTTGCTTGTCACATACAGTTTTAAAATGTCCCATTAGACATTCACGAAGGACAGATGATGTCCAAAATATTTTGCAACTGGTAAAGTCATAGAAATTAACAGAATCACTATAGGCATCAAATTTTTAAAATATCTTTTTTTCTCTAAATAATCAAGATGACCTATCTTGATATACCTATCTCTTTAAATTGTTTGCCAAGAACAGAAGTTGAAGCTCAAATCATTCTCAAATTATCGTCATGTTTTTATTTAGAAATTGTGTAATTTCTTGAGTGACACAGCTGTATATATGTATGTGTGTATATATATAAACATAAAATAACCTATGATATATTTATTTATTTATTTAAAATAACTCTGCCTGAGCTGTGATTTGATAAGAGAACCACATCCAGTGCTTCTAGCAACTTCCCATTAACTTGAGAACCAGTGGGTGACGTGGGATCTCAACAGATAACTCATCTAAGCATCAACCACAGTTCTATTTTCTCCTCTCTTCGCTGTTCTAAACTGACAGCAATTACATTAAAAACTTTCCTAGCCCTTGTAAGACTGTCTGATAATTTCGTGTATTCAACCTTTATTATCGACTAAGTAATGATATGACACAAAACCCATGGCCACAATGAACTTGAACTAATGCGTTTCTATTGGAATACGTGTTATTGAATTTCACCGCTTTCTCAATTAGCCTTGCACTATTAACCAGCTGGAAGAGAAGGGTTTCAGTGTTTTACCCACCAGCACGTCCATACTAGTGCACGCTGACTAAATTGTAGCCTTGCTTGGAAAAACCTGGGTAAGAATTATCAGCATCCAGAACCTAGCTCTCTCTTCGCGCAAATACAAAGTCCTTTTGATAAAGTTTTAACAGGTTCTGAATTTTCCAGGAAGTGCAACTACCATGTAAAATGAGGGAAGCTGGTGTCATGTTTCGTTCGAAACTTGACCAAGGATTGTCAACAATTTCAGAAGACCACGTTCTGTACGGCTCTCGGTAGCCGGACACGGACACCACGTGTCCCCCTCTGTGGGGAGCTGCTGACGTTACAGGTGTAAGGGTCTGGATTTCTGGGTTCTGGGAAGTGGCTCCCTATATTAGCATGTTGAAGTGCATGTTATAAATGATTTTTTTTGTTGTTGAGGAAGATTAGCCCTGAGCTAACCTCTGCTGCCAATCCTCTTCTTTTTGCTGAGGAAGACTGGCCCTGAGCTAACATCCATGCCCATCTTCCTCTGCTTTATATGTGGAATGCCTACCACAGCATGGCTTGCCAAGTGGTGCCATGTCCGCACCCGGGATCCAAACCAGTGAACCCCAGGCTGCCGAAGCAGGACGTGCGCACTTAACCACTGTGCCACCGGGCCAGCCCCTAAACGGTGATCCTTTTAGTTCTCCTTTTTATTACAGTTTGGGCAATATAGAGATTGTTGTTAAAATCATGTGCAGGTGGGTTATATTATCTGTGAACTTCGTTTCAGGAGCCAAGAGGACTCTCCCAGAGCTGACACTCAAGCCAGCACGTGCCCTGGTGTGGCCATGCCGGTGGTTAAAACATGCAAGCATTCACTTAGGGACTGTTCACCTGTTGGTAAAGGGTCGCAGCCGTGAGCCCCCTATTATTACCCTCCTGGCTCTCCCTGGGGAGCCCCCTGACCCAGCAGCCAGGGGGTTAACCCTGGGCGCAGTGGGAGGGAAAGGGGCTCATGACCCAGATGCTGTTTGATGGCCCAATGCAGTTACCAAGCAGTAAATATTTTGTGTGTCGCTCTGAGCATTACAAAATATTTGCTATGCAAAGTGGCCCCGAAAGACTTGCCTACAAATGCACCTCTATGCACAATAGCTCCAAGCTGGAAACCACCTAGTGGCCATTACCAGGCGAGTTAAACACACTGTGGTACATCCAGACAGTGGAATACTCCTTGGTGATAAAAAGCGAAAAAGGTGGGGCCGGCCAGTGGCGTAGTGGTTAAGTTTGCGCTCCACTTAGGTGGCCTGGGGTTCGCAGGTTCGGATCCCGGGTGCAGACCTACACACTGCTCATCAAGCCATGTTGCGGCAACATCCTGCATACAAAATAGAGGAAGATTGGCACAGATGTCAGCTCAGGGCCAATCTTCCTCACCAAAAGTAAATAAATAAATAAGGAATGAACTACTGATTTGTGCAAAAATATGACTAAATTTCAAAAGCGTGATGCTAAGTAAAAGAAGGCAAATGCAAAAATCTACATACTATGGGATTCCACTAATGTGGAATTCTAGAAGAGAAAGAACTAACCCGTAGTGCCCAAAAGCAGACAGTGGTTGCCTGGGCCTGGGGGTGGAGGGAGGGAGGGACTGCAAAGGAGCACGAGGAAATTAGGGGCGGTGGGAGCCTTGTGCATCTTGATGTGGTGGTGGTTTTCCACAAGCGTGTGCATCTCTCAAAATTCTTCCAGTCGTCTACTTTCATGGAATACAGTGTATTGTATGTAGATGATGCCTCAATAAGATTGGGCCCCAGTAAGGCTGACGGCGGGCAGAGTCCAACAGGACTAGAGACATTGATCCATTTCCAGGAGAGACAAAACTGAGTCATTACCTGCCTGCCTCCCATACTGGAACCCGGGCCCAAGCCCAATCCAGGGCCAGCCTGAGCCCACCCTTGCAAGCCGACCTCCTTGGAAGGAGCCAGAAGGGTGTCCCAGTAACAGGAGTGGATGGGGCACTGGGGAAAGGGAGAGAGAGGGAGCGGGGAGCTGGGCCCCAGGGAGTGGCCATGCAGGTGCTTTTTCTGCTGATATAAACCTTCACCAGTGGCCTTGGGGTGAGGCGTATCAGGGCCATTGTTGCCAGAGGCCTTGGGGTGAGGCATATCAGGGCCATTGTCGCTCTTGCCAAGGTCATATAGCTGGCAGGTAGCAGAAGCAAAATCCAACCCAGGGTAACAGCCTCTCATGCTCAAGCAGGTCTGCACCGAAGCCCAGTTCATTCACTCTGCAGATGTTTATTGAGTACCTACTATGCGCCAGGCCCTCTGCAGTGCTCTGGGTATGCAGCAGTGACCAGGACAAAGGTGGCTTCCTCATGGAATGCACATCCTAGTGGGGACCAGGTGTGGGAGCCCCTTAAGCCCCTGGCCACACTGGGGAGGTTTGAGATGGCTCCAGTCTTTCTATAGGACCTGGATCCGTGTTTTAGGCAAATTAGTGGCATGTGCCCAGCAAATTTAAAAAGAGGAATAAGAAAAAAATGAGTAAGTACTTTTTGGTGGAAATTGGCCCATTTACACATTCTTTTTATGTACACACATTGTATGTATAGATGGTATACGCAATATGTTACATATATAGGTATGTATCTCTTTAACCCGTCTTCCCTCACAACCTAAATCTAATCCATTCCCCAAAAGCATTAGATAGGAACTCTGGGGATAACTTTCTTTTTTGAAGATTAGCCCTGAGCTAACATCTGCTGCCAATCCTCCTCTTTTTGCTGAGGAAGACTGGCCCTGAGCTAACATCCGTGCCCATCTTCCTCCACTTATATGTGGGACGCCTGTCACAGCATGGCTTGTTAGGCGGTGCCATGTCCGCACTCGGGATCCGAACCGGTGAAGCCCTGGGCTGCCAAAGTGGAGCACATGAACTTAACGGCTCGGCCACGGGGCCAGCCCCCCATTAAACAGTCTTGTTAAACACTTAGATAACAACCCACCAAGGATTTTGGCAAAGGAGAAGCATTGAAAACACCAATTACTTAATTATTCAACACTTAATGAACTCATTAATGGCTATGTTTGTGTGCAATACACAATTTTGCACGATCAGATATAAATTATATTTTCCTTGCAAACTGCACTGATCATGAGATGTAACTAAATAAACTGAGAAAAGATGCTACAGATACTTAAGATACCATCTATAATTGGACCCACATTGGTGGTGCCTCCAGGCACCTCGCGGAAGGTTCCTCAGGGACCTAGGGATGAGCGAGATGTTATCAATAATGTGTAACACGCTTCAACAAGGCACAAGACAGGATCCCCTGAGGACAGGGGAGCCGCAACTGGCGTCGTCCACATCTTGGACCCACACCGGACTTGGTTTTTGATTGAAATAGCAAATGTTGGGGTAAAAAAAAAAAAAAAAACAACCAGCAAGTCCCACTATTAGGACTACCTAGACAGCAAGAGTTCAGATCTCAAGGTGTACCTGCGGGCTCAGCCCCATGGCCAAGTGGAAAATGGATTTCTTATCATGAGTTGTACAAAGTGGTTAACTAACGGGGCCAGCCCATGGCCAAGTGGTTAAGTTCACGTGCTCCGGTTTAGCAGCCCAGGGCTTCGCAGATTCGCATCCTGGGCACAGACCTAGCACCGCTCATCAAGCCATGTCGAGGCGGTGTCCCACATGCCACAACCAGAAGGACCCACAATTAGGACATACAGCTATACACTGGGGGGCTTTGGGGATTAAAAGAAAAAAAAAAGATTGGCGACAGATGTTAGCTCAGTGCCAATCTTTAAAAAAATTGTTTGACTGGAAGATAATATACATAAGGTGAAATGCACACATCTTAAGTGTACCGGTTAATTAAATTTTCCAAACGTTTACATCTGGAAGCATCACTCATATCAAGATATAGAACATTTTCGGTATCATGGAAGGGTCCCCTGTGCCCCCTCCCAGTCACTAAGTCACCCTCCTGGGTCACCACCGTCCTCTCCCCATAGACCAATTCAGCCTGTTCTAGACCTTTCCATAAGTGGAACTATACAGTATGTACTGTTTCCAGCTTCTTTCACTGAAAATATTACCTGTGAGATGGATCCAAGTTGCACACGTCAATACTTGCTTTTCCAGCTGAGTAACCTACCATCACATGGATGATTATAACAATTTATCTAATTGATTCGTTTTCAAATTTTGGCAATTATAGAAAAAGCAGCTATAAACATCGATGTACCAGTTTTTGTGTGAACAGAAGTTTTCCTTCCTCTTGGGTAAATACCCAGGAGTGAGACTCACGAGTGGCATGCGAAGTATATATTTTAACTTGCTAAGAAACTGCCCAGATTTCCCAAAGTGAGTGGACCATTTGCAGTGCCCCCAGCACTGCGGGGCTGCGTCCAGTGGCTCCGACGCCATCAGCACGTGCTCGTTTGGTGTGCTGCCATGCCAACAGGTGTGTGTAGTGGTGTCTCATTGTGGTTTCCAATGGCGTTGATGAACAGATATTTTATTTCAATGAAGTCCAATTTATCCTGTTTTTGTTTATTTTCTGGGTGGCTAGTGCTTTCAGCCAAATTCTTAAAAATATCAAATTACATATACTCAATAATTTTATTGCTAAAAAATATCCTCTGGAGGGACAGCAGTATTTGTCCTCAGACACCCCCCAGGGTTTCTGGGAGTGTTACTGTGGAGGGAACATAGAGGCTGGGGACCGGGTGAGACGTACCGTGGAGTCACAGAACACACACACACACAGCTAGAGCTATAGCCACCAATAACCAGCAGAGGAGCTGGTGACCCGTCAGAACATCCTTCCTCTCGAAGAGGGCAGAATTCCACATGGCGACCTGTGCCCTGTGCCCTGAGACGGGAAGGCCAGGCAGGCTCCCGGGATGGGGGGGGGGGGGGGGGGGGAGGACGCTATTTCTCCATCTTGCTGTTTCCTAGCCTTGAGTAGGGACAGGATCTGAGGAGTGGGGAGATATGGGGAGACACACTCACACGCACACACACACATTTACACCAGGAGCCAGGCCTCTCAGAGGTGACGTCGGAGAGGGAGGCTGGGGCCCCTGGCTTCCTGGAGCATGTGGGCAGGGTCCCCAGAGGCCCAGCTTGTCCGTTTATCCATCTCTCACGATCCCAATGTCCAAAGTGCCCCGTATCGGGGCAGGAAGGGTCCCTCTTGGGGTTTACATGACCGATTCCTTCTCGCAGGCGTCAGCATCCCCAGCGGGTCCTGGACCGTGTTTGAGGAGGGGGTTGCCCTCCTCGATGGGGATGGGCAATGGAGCCACGGGCATCTCGCTCTTCACCTGGATCAACTCGGGCACCGAGCTCCGCGCCTCCGTACGATCCACGTAACTTTGGAGGAGTCCTGCCCCAAAGGCGTCACCTTCCACGTTGAGGATGGTGCAGCTCCGGTCCCTGAAGGGGAGGAGTGCCAAGGAAGTGAGCGGGAGGGGGGGTCAGGGTCCAACGCGGGAACCTTGAAGGCCCCATCACGCCTCCTTCACAGACCCCTGTTCTACTCCTCTGAGACCCAGAAGCTCATCTCTCCATCCTCCCAGGATCCCAGATATCCTCTCCTCCTAGAAGCACAAAGATCTTTTCCTCTAGAACCCGGGAGGCCGCCCACTTCGCCTGTGCCCCTGGAATCCCAGTGTCGCATCATACTTTCTCTGCCTTTGAACCCCAAAGACCTGCTCCTCGACCCTCCCTGGACCCCAGTGAGGCTTCTTCCAACGAGACACAAGAATTGTTGCTTCTGGAACCTCAGAGAGTCATTCCTGCCTTTCCTTGGGGCCCCAAGAGACCCGTCTCCTCACACTTTTTGTGTGTGTGTGCCATTTTAGAAAATTGAGCTATAACTCACATATCATAAAATCCATCCTTTAAAAGTGTGCCATCCAGTGGGCTTTAGTATATTCAGAGTTGTACGACCATCACCACTATTCAGTTCCAGAATAATTTCATCTCTCCAAAAGGAAACCCCCACACCCACTAAGCAGTCAGCCCCCATTTCCTCGCCTCCCCCCAGCCCTAGGCACCCGCTCATCTACTTCTTGTCTCTAGATTTCCTTGTTCTGGACATTTCATAGAAATGGGATCCTACACTGTGTGGTCCTTGGTGTCTGGCTTCTTTCACTCAGCATAATGTTTTCAAGAATCCCAGATATAGGGGCTGGCCCGGTGGCGTAGCGGTTAAGCACGCACGTTCTGCTTCGGTGGCCTGGGGTTCCCTGGTTCGGATCCCGGGTGCGGACATGGCACTGCTTGGCAAGCCATTATGTGGCAGGCGTCCCACATATAAAGTAGAGGAAGATGGGCACGGATGTTAGCTCACGGCCAAGTGTTCCTCAGCAAAAAGAGGAGGATTAGCAGCAGATGTTAGCTCAGGGCTAATCTTCCTCAAAAAAAAAAAAAAAAAAAAGAGTGCCAGATCTAACAGCATCTATGTATGTACTGGAGCTTCATTCCATTTCTTGAGAATAATATCCCATTGTATGGATTTACGGACATTTTGTTTATCCACTCATCAACTGACGGACATTCAGGCTGTTTCCTGTTCCGTACTATGAATAATGCCGCCGTGAACATTCATGTACAAGTTTTTGTGGACACGTTTTCAATTCTCCCGGGTATATACCTAGGAGTGGGGTTGTGGAGACATACGATAACTCCACGTTTAACTTTTGAAACCAAACTGTTTTCTAATCTTTTATGCTCTTAATAGCTTAAAGGTGACAGCTGACAATTATGTAGCATTTACCACTTCCTGTTCTAAGCAGGTGTTCTAAGGGAGTTGGTTGTTTTAAATCATCTAAGGAGGAAACCATTCTCTCCATTTTACAGAGGGAGAAACTGAGACACAGAGAGATGAAGTCCCTGCCCACGGTCATAACAGCTAGTAACGGTGGCCCCAGGACTTGAACACCAGCAGCCTGGACTGTCTGCTCTGTGAACCACTCCAGCATGCTACCTTCCTGGGGGTCCTCTTAGAAGCCCAAAGATCCGTTCCTGCCCTCTTACTGGAACGTTCCAGGTCCCATCCCCTTTCCTCTAAAACTCCTTCCCCCCTCTTCTCATCTACGTACAGGCTCTGAATGACCCTCTTCTTCATCCCCTTTCCCAGGAGCCCCCCTGAATTCCCAAACCCACACTCACACCAGCCAGTCCACAGCCAGGATCAAGGAGATGTCGTGAACCGGCAGGCTGACAGCCTCGAGGATGATGGCCAGAGTGAGGACACCTCCAGCGGGGATGCCCGCCGCACCCACACTGGACGCTGTGGCGGTGACCCTGGGGGAGGAGAGGGGAGGTCAGGGAGGGGCCCCGGGAGTGGGAGAAGCTGCCACAGGGGCCCCGCTCCCCTCAGCCTGTGCCCACTCTCAGGGGAAGGGTCCGGTGGGTCGGGGGTCCTAGCCGCAGCCACCTGCACTCACAGGATGGTGATGATGTGCACGAAGTCCAAGGATCGCTTGTTGAGCTGAGCAATGAACACCGCGGCCACGCACTGGAAGAGGGCGGCACCGTCCATGTTGACAGTGGCCCCGATGGGCAGGATGAAGCGGCTGATGTGCTTGGCCACGCCATTCTTCTCCTCCACACACTTCATCATCAGCGGCAGCGTGGCGGAGCTGCGAGGGACCGCAGATCCGAGCTCACGCGCAGCCCTCACCTGGCCCCGCCCACCACTCAAGCCCCGCCCATAGCCCCGCCCCCAGGCCACATCCACCTCTGCAGACCAGCCCCTGGACCAGGCCCCGCCCATGCAGTCCAGCCTCCCCGGACCAAGCTCCGCCCACCAGCCTAACCTCCCCGCCCTCCCCCGCCTCATCCCCAGATCCCACCACCCACAGCCCTCTCCAGCTCTCCATGCCCTTCTCTTCCCAGAGCCAGAAGGCACTAGGGATCCCGCAGAATGTGGGCATTCCAAAATGGGGGAGTCCTGGACCCCCTGGGAGAATAGTGCCTGGTACTCCTCAAAATACACATAAAATTCCTATCTAAATTCCATAATGTCTGAGAGCTCACTGACCCACGCCCCCTCCCCTCCTCCTCCAATGATAGACCTCGGCTAAGAATTCCTACGCTCTTGGAGATGCTGCTGCAGAGAGGGCCCGGTTCCGAGGGGACAGGGCCAGTACAGATGGACATACCCAGATGTGGAAGGAAGCATGGCCCTGTACCCAGACCCGATGTCCCCAAACACAAAATTTCGCGAGCCTTCAGACATTTGATGCCCGCTCCAGACCCCTTAGCTTAAAAACCCCGGTCCACCCCAAGGCCGCACCTGGAGGAGGTCCCGAAGGCAGTGGCCAGCGCCGTCATGATGCCCCACAGGAAGCGGTAGGGGTTTTTGCGAGTGAAGAGGAAATAGATGAGAGGCAGCACCAGGAGCCCGTGGATGGCGTGGCCCAGCAGGCAGCACAGGATGTATTTGCCGAGACTGGCGAAGAGCAGCCCCACGTCTTCCATCTCCACGATCTTGCCCGCCACCAGGAACAAGATGCCCACAGGGGCATACCTAATTACCCAGAAGACAGATTGCTGACTGCCCACGTGCCCACTCAGGGCCGGGCGCTGTGCCTGGCACACGGCCTGACCATTTCCAAGCCTCCCTCGCAGTCAGAAGGTGCCCAGAGCATTGCGTGCTGAAGTTCGCCACCCCAGCCCCACCCCCGCCATCGTCTGCGCTCTCTCGCCTTGAAGACAGTGCAGCCGGGAGATAGGGGAACGGCAGCTGGTGTCTTCGTAACAACTCCCAGGTAGGAAGCATCTATGTGCCCTTGAGCATGGCTGAACCTTCGCCACAACCCCGCGAGGCAGCGCCCGTGGAGCCTCTGGCGCGGCTACCACGGAATTAAAGAAAATCTCCTAGGTCTGTAAAACACGGACGATGATGCTAAGCCGCACAGGAATGTGGGGAGGATGACATGAGGTGCCAGCTCAAGTGACCTGAAAGCTTTCTGTACACAATAAGTGATCTATAAACTTCAGCTGGGATTACTGGCACATTCTCCCGGAGGGAAGATGCTACGGGTGCCCGTGTCCCCCAGGCAGGAGGCGTCCCAAGATCACTTCCTTGCCTGCTTGATCGCAATGGCTGGTTGTCTGTCTTCTCCTGCTTAGTGACAGCAGAAAGGCACCATCTCCCAGCCACCTGTGCAGCCAGGTTTGGCCAAAGGCCCAAGTTCTGGCCAGTAAGATATGCCCAGAAGTTACACAAAAAAGTACATGATAAATATTAGCTAAGACTGTTTACTGGTGCACGCTATATAGACTGGCCACCGTCCCAAGAACATGACACGTAGGAACTCATTTGTGCCTGGTACTGCCAACCCCTTTTTTAAGATGGGGAAACTGAGGCTCGGAGGGCTAAGCCGCTTGTCCTAGGGCACAGGGTTGAGAAGCGGCAGGGCCGGGGTGGGAACCCAAGCTGCCAGTGGCAGAGCCTGCTCTGACCCGCACACCACCCAGCCCGGGCAGCGGAGTTTTTACTGGTCAAGACTCACTCCGGCCGCGCCCAGCTGCCTCTGAGATGTCGGCTGCGCAGCAATCAGGGTGGGTGGGCGTGTGGGGTTTCTCAGCAATGCAGCAACACCGGCCCCTCGCCCGATTTCTGACCCTCTAGGCCAGGCAGGCGCTGAGAGTCCGTGTGAGACGGTGGGGAGATGAGACTGGGGGAGGGGGGGACGGTGGAGGCCTCGGCATCAGTCTCCCCCTCATTATCAGGGGTCATTGAACAAAGCTCGTAAAAAGAACAATCGTAGAGAACAGGAAGTGAATCTCAGTAAGTGCCAGGCGTTTACAGCACTTTCTAAGAGCTTTACGTCTACTTGGGTCACCAACTTCATCTTCATAACTCTGTCAAGCAGCACTATGTTACATCAGCGATCCAAAGGTTAAGACTGGATTCCATTTAAATCTCTAAAACTGAGATGCATTAGTCTGGCTGTGGCCGCAGCTTGGCTGTCTGTCACCTTCCAGTAAGAGCAAGAAGGTGCCGGAATCTGTCTCAGCTCTCATGGAATACAGTACTGCCCTCGTTTTATATATGAGGCCATTGAGGCACAGAGAGGGTAAGCGGCTTGCCCAAAGTCACACAGCAAGGGAATAGTCGATGTCAGATTTGAATCCAGGCCATCTGGCTTTCCAAGGAGCGGATGGAGGGTCGCCCTCTCCCACAGCCCCAGCCCCTCTCCTACCACCTACCACATGATCCAGGAGACCAGCACCATGGTGGCGTCGTTGAAGGAGTTGAAGAAGCGGATGAGCAGCTCTCCCTCAGGCCCCAGCTTCCGCAGGGCCACGCCAAAGACGATGGCAAACACCACCAGGCCCAGGATGTTCATACCCTCCACCTCACCTCCCACGGGCACCTTTGGGCAAGGAACAGACGGGGACAGGAGGGAGCGCTCAGTCACCTGCAGTCACTCCGGGCCGGCTCCTCAGGCCCCTTCCTCCCACGACTCACAGTCCAGGTCCAGGAGAAATAGCTCTGTCTCCAGGGACCACCCAGAGAGGGTAGGGCTGGAATGGGGGCCCCAGGGGAGCGTGCGAACCGAGAGGGGGGGAAGCCACCTTGGGGAGGGTAAGAGGGAATCAAGAGGGCTTCCTGGAGGAAGAGGCTGAGCCCTAGAGAACAGGAGGGGTGAACCAGGTAAAAACGGGTGGTAGAAAGTTCTAGAGAGAGGAACCAAGGTTCAACAGCCTAGACATGAGAGCAACATGGACATTCAAAGAAGGGAAAGTAATCCACTGTGGCTGGAGTGGAACGAGCCAGGCAGAGTCACAAGATGAGGCCGGGCAGGCGGCTGGGCAGGGGCCCAACCTCGGAGGGTCCCATGGACTGCGGCGAGGAGGCTTGGGTTTTCCTCCAAGGGCACTAGGGAGCAGGACAGGGCTTGGGGCAGGGGAGAGGCAGAGAGAAGAGGGGGCAAAACGGGGACTCCAGAAAGACAGATTACACAGAAACTGGGGAGGGGCTGCGGAAAGTTTAAAACACACTGCACAGCAAATGTTAGAAGGCCCAGAGGACAGACGAAGGCTGGGGGAGGAAGAAAATGGAACAAGCACAACAAGGGGCCAGGGGTGTCCCCGCCCCCCCGCCCTTCCCCGCCCTTCCCCGCTCTCACCTTCACCTGGGTTCCGTTGATGGAGCTCTGCTCATAGGAGGTAGCATACTGCAGACAGGAGTGGGATGCGTCAGTGTCAATCAACATCGAGGCTCCCCCTTCCCGGGCTGGCACTAAGATGCTCAAAGCCAGCCTTAAACATCTCTTAAACACAGTCTCATTTCATCTCGCCAGCACCCCTGCTGAGGTAGGACTATTCATACCCCCCAAGGCTCAGAGAGGTAAAGGCACTTGCCCAGGGTCACACAGCTAGAATGTGAACCCAGAGGGGGCTCGGAACCCATATTCTTGCTTCTTGATGAGGGGCACGGATGGTTTTCAGAAGTCCCCCCAAGAACCCTGTAATAGCATCGCCTGTAAATATGTGGGCATGTGCACTTTTCCAGGCATCACCCCAAATCAGGCACCAAGGGGCCATGACTGGTGTCTCACCCCTTCCCAACCCCCCATCTACTTGGGACACCACCCCTCCCCCTGCCCCGGCCCCAGGACTCACTGAGCGGAAGGCAGCAGACACCAGGTTGGAGGGGAAGATATTCCTACAGAGACAGACATAGGGGGGTTAGTAAGTACCACAGGGGGATGTCAGTAGGTGCTGGGTTGGCCTCTTGGCGTAGGGAGAATCTTGGAGGCCCCATCTGCACCCAGCTGTGGCCCCCACCCAAGCCTCCGCCAGGTTCAGCCAGGCAGGGTTGGAGCCAGGCCGGCCAGCCTTTGCAGGGGGTGGGGAGTCTGAGCTGCCCCCCTGGGGCTGGTGTCGAGGCCCCGGGGGACTGCGGGTTGGGGCTGAGGTGTACTGATTCCCACGGTGCAGCCGGGGCAGAGGCACCCAGGGCCTCAGCTCCACCCCATGCAGAACTTAATACCGTGGCTGTCTTGCATCAGCCACTTCCTCCTGGAGGGCTGGGAGGCTAAGAGGGCTGGCCCTGGGGGCTGGAAGGGTATGGGCGTGTTGGAAAGAGGTGGTGAGAGAAAGTGACAAGGGATGGCTGTGTGTCATGAATGTGCATCTTCAGTGAGCAGCAGCGAGCACTAAACCCCAGAGCCTGTGAGGGAGTGGACAGGGGCCTCGTGTGTCTGAGTGAGATGGAAATAACATCAGACACGCCTACGGGCGCTTACGTGAATCCACTCACGTAATCCTCACGCCAGCCCTCAGGGATTATCAGTTATCCTGTTTTACAGAAAAGGAAACTGAGGCACAGAAAGGTGCAGAAACTTGCCTGGCTACGGAGAGGCAGAGCCGAGATCTAAACCCAGCCAGCTGGTGGCAGAGTCCCAGCCACTGGGCATCCTAGGATCCCCCTGCCCGCCGTGACGTGGGTGGACAGCTGTTGCTGTGGGTCCACAGACAGTGTGTCAAGTGTTGGGATCCGGCTGGGGGCGCCGGTCAGAGTTCAGAGACATGGAACCCTGTTGGTGGTGGCCACGCAGGTGTGTGTGTGTGTGCTCTTGAGCATGTGTCTAGGGCAATGCTCGATGTGCTGGTGTGGTCGGTGGCATCTCCTAGTGGCTGTTTGTGCTAAAGCGGTCTTCGTACCCAGTGGAGGGGTGCGTGACAGTCAGCGCAAGCCCATGCATCAATGTGACATGTCCAGACGTGACTGAGTGTCTGTGTGCCTGTGTCCAGCTGTGTCAGTTGGTTATAAGGTGGTGTCACTGAGATATTCCGGCGAAGTTTCTGAGTGGCTGGCCAAGCGTGAGTTACGTCTGTTTTGGCATGCGGGGGACGCCTGTACACACAAACAGCCTTTGAGTGGGTGTGTCTGTCTGCAGGCTGTACCCCCCTCCCCCAGGCCAGCCAGGGCTGGGCCATGACCCAGCTAATCTCCCCCAGCCAGGAGGTGCCCACCCACTGCCACTTCTAGACAGCAAGCTTGCCGGAGTCCCTCATCTCAGCTGCACGGATGTCCCCCCCGAGGCTGGGGGAACCCAGTTTCCTGACTCATCATTTCCTTCTGCCACTTCCAGGAAGTCCCCAAACAACCTGGATACACTGAATCAGCAGGTCCCCTGGGGACCCTGCAGTCGGCCCTCCTCAAAAGTGGGGAGAGCCCTGTTTGGGGGCGGGGGAGGGGGAGCAGAGGCCAGAAGGAAGACAATCTGCACATTTGCTAACTGGGCCCCTTCTGGGCAGCCTAGTGGCCGGGAGCCCAGACAGGGAGGAAACGGGATGGAGAGTCGAGTCGTGGAGGTGGCAGGACATACCAGGAACTTAGAAAAAGGGGAAGTCGCCAGGGCCCAGCTGCACTGGGCGGGGAGGGAGGCTGAGAAAGAGCCTGGCTGTGTTGGGGTGATGTGTGGTGTGGGGAGAGGGCCTGGTGGGGGTCACTGGGATCTCTCCAGGTGCTCCAAGGGGGTTCCTTCCCCGGGAGTCCCAAACCCTCTGACCCTGGACTCAAATCTTTATCCAGAAGCCCCATCCTGGGCGATTACATGCCCAAAGATCCTCTTGTCACAGCAGAGACCCTCTCGTGTGTCCCCAAAGCCCCAAGCATCACTTTCTTCTCCCTCTATAAGACTTCCTTGCTTATCGCCCTCATGGGGGGTCGGGCTTATGTCCCCAGGTCCCCCATTCAGAAGCCTCCTTCCCGAGGACTCTGTCCTCACTCTCCATACCCTGACCCCAAGGGCTCAGGGCTCCTCCCACCATCCTGTGCCCTCTTCCTGAGGCCCCGGGGATGTTCCGCCCGGGAGGACCCAAAGCCCCCGTCCTGTCCACGTGGCCACTCCCGCCATCCCTCACACGCGTCCCCTCCCCACGTGGGTGAAGCACTCCCTCCCTCCCTCCCCCGCCTCCACCGGGCTGGCGGTGTCTGACCTCACAAGATCCAGGAACGAATCGCGCACCTCCTTCCTCGGGGCCTCTTCCACGGCGCCCGTGGCCCCGACCGAGGCGTTGATGGCGGCGAAGGCGGCGCCCGGCTGCAGCGCCAGCGCCAAGCCCACGCCGAGCGCCGACGCCAGCAGCGTGGTGACCAGGAAAAAGAGCAGCGCCCAGGCGCCCAGGCGGCCGAGCGCGCTCGGGTCCAGGCTGGCCGCGCCGCCGACCAGGCTGCACACCACCAGCGGCAGGATGATCATCTTTAGCAGGCGCAGCAGCAGCTCGCCCGGGAAGGCGAAGGCCGCCAGGCGCGCGGGACCCAGCGCTCCCGCGCCGCCGGCCCCGGACACCCCCAGCCCCAGCGCCACGCCCGCCACCACGGCCGCCACCGTCAGCAGCACCAGCAGGTTGGCGCGAAGGCAGCGGCGCACCTTGTCCTGGGAACCGCCTCCTGCCGCATCGGGGTCCTCTATAGGGACCAACGCCAGGGCACCGTTCGCGGTGGGCTCCCCCGCCGCGAACCCCTTGGAGTCTCCTTTAGGCGGATCGGCCACCATGACGATCGCCCCTGGGGTTCCTGAGCGCCTGGAAGCTGGGAGCCTTCGGGGCTCCTTCCCAGGACGCTGACGTTCCTAGAACGGAGAGTTCAGTAACAGCCTGGAGGCTGGAACTTTGGAGGGTTCCTCGGAGTTGAGAGTTCACTGCGCCTCGGTTCCTTGGCTCTTGGAAGCGGAGTGTTTGAGATCCCGAGGCTGGGCACCGGGGCTCCTCTGCTGTTCCAGGTGGGGTCCGGCACCCAAGACCTGGGAGTTGGGAGCACCTGGGTTTCCTGGCCCCAGGGGATGGGAATACAGGAGTTTCTCAGGCTGGGACCTGGGGTCCTTGGCTCCGGAAGGCTGAAGGCGCCCAGGCAGCGGAGGTCTTCAAGAGGCTAGGTCCTGGTGGCGCAGATGAGGGACGCCTGGATCCGGGAGGCGGGGGACCCGGGGTGCCTGGGTCCCGGAAACGGAGGGCTGGGGGAGCCCGAGTCTAGGGGCGCAGAGACGGAGCTCCGGGAAGAGGGGAGGCAGGCTCTTGGTCCGGGAGGGGAGATCCAGGCCCCTGGGGGCGGAAGGCGCGGTCCCGGATCCCAGGAGGTGACTGCCGCCAGCCGGGAGCGGACCTCGCTGGCGGGCCGCGTGGCTCTGAGCGGGCTCGGCGGAAGCGGCGGGGATTAAGGCGGGAGGCGAGGCTGGGGGGCGGGGACCGGCCGCTGGCGCCGATTGGCTGCAGCGCTCAGAGCCCTCCTGCGCGCGCGGGGAGGGGCTGCGGCCCAGAGCGGCCGGGTGGCCCCTAGAAGGCAGAGTAACAATGGCTATATCCAGGGGCGGGGCCGAAGGGGGCGGGGTTGTTGGGAGGACGCTTTTTCCCCCCAGCCAAATGAATTGGGCTGTGGGTTGGGGCCGTTAGGCCACAGCGGTCCCTTGGTGCGAAGATCTCCAAAAAGTGCAGGTGATGCGGTGGTGGCTTATTTGCAAATCAACTCAGCCTGGAACTCCTCCTCCGCCCCAAATTCTTTCTTTCGTTGCTTCTCGGAACTTCAGTTCCTCCCACGTAAAATGTAAATCCCTCACGTGATTGGTTTAAGATTTAAATGAGATGGAGTTGTTTATTTAATCATGTTAATAATTTTTTTTAAAGATTGGCACCTGAGCTGACGTCTGTTGCCAATCTTCTTCCCCCCTTTTTTTCTTCTTCTTCTTCTCTCCAAAGCCTCTCCAGCACATAGTTGTATATTTGAGTTGTAGCTCCTTCTGGCTCTGCTATGTGGGACGTCGCCTCAGCATGGCTTGATGAGCCGGGCCACGTCTGCGCCCAGGATCCCAACCAGGAAACCCCGGGCCACCGAAGGAGCTTGCGAACTTAATCACTCGGCCACAGGACTGGTCCCATAATAATGATAGTAATTTTTAAAACAAGTGTTCCCAGTTTAGAGCCCCACACTTTTCAATTAATGGCAGTCATTACATTAGGATTGTAATCCACTTCCCCCGGGTACAGATTTCCAATCCATCCATTAAAAATTATAACTCAATTTAATGACTGGGCTGATGCTTTTACGAATGCTTTTGCCACATATTTTGCCCCATATTTTATGATGAAAATTTTCAAACATACAAAAAAGTTTAAAGGATTTTATGGCGAACGCCCATATACTCACCACCTAGAGTCTACAATTATTTCGCCATATTTCTATATCATATTCCTACCCATTTTCTCTCTCTCTATCCATCCACCCATTCACTTTCTTTTTTGACACATGCCAAAGTAAGTTGGAGATATCAGTCGTAGAAATTAATAAAAGAAACCGCAACTAAATGAAAATTGGGAAGGCCTGAACCGGGAGCCTCTCACCCTATTCACACATCCTCAATTACCCCAAATAGGAAGAGACAGAGCTTGCATCTTCCACTGGAAGTAAAACTCCTTTACTAATCAAGGAAGATTTCTCTCTCCACCCAGCAACAGCCCAGCCAATGAGAAACACTGCAGCTCAGCCAATGAGAAACGCCACAGTTCAGCCAATGAGAAATGCCACAGTTCAGCCAATGAGAAACACTGCAGCTCAGCCAATGAGAAACACCACAGTTCAGCCAATGAAAAACACTGCAGCTCAGTCAATGAGAAACGTCACAGCTCAGCCATTGAGAAACGCCACAGTTCAGCCAATGAGAAACGCCACAGTTCAGCCAATGAGAAATGCCACAGCTCAGCCAATGAGAAACACTGCAGCTCAGCCATTGAGAAACACCACAGTTCAGCCAACGAGAAACGCCACAGCTCAGCCATTGAGAAACGCCACAGCTCAGCCATTGAGAAACACCACAGCTCAGCCAATGAGAAATGCCACAGCTCAGCCAATGAGAAACACTGCAGCTCAGCCAATGAGAAACGCCACAGTTCAGCCAATGAGAAACGCCACAGTTCAGCCAATGAGAAACACTGCAACTCAGCCAATGAGAAGCCATTTCTGCTCAAACTGTCACTTTCTCCCAGTGGACTTTCCTTTGGAACAGCCCCGCCCTACTCCCCCTTTTTCTCTATAAAAGCAGCTCCCCTGCTTTGTTCTCTGGATTTGCCTGTGGTTTTTGGTATCTGGCGCGTTCTGAATTGCAATTCCTTTGGCTATTCCCAAATAAACTCATTCTGAGGGTAAAGTAACTGGTGAATTTGCCTTTTTTTTTTCTTTTTTTTTAAATGGGCACCTGAGCTAACATCTGTGGCCAATCTTTTTTCTTCTTCTTCTCCCCAGAGCCGCCCCCAGGACATAGTTGTATATTCGAGTTGTAGCTCCTTGTTGTGCTATGTGGGACACCGCCTCAGTATGGCTTGATGAGCAATGCCATGTCTGTGCCCAGGATCCAAACCGCAAAACCCTGGGCCACCGAAGCTGTTGGCCATGGGGCCGGCCCCTGAATTTGCCTTTTAAGTTGACACAGTGCACTTTCCTTTTAAGTACTTCAGCGTGCATTTATTAATCTGAGTTCAATATTTGCACACAGTCCTTTTTTTTCTTTTTAGGTAAAATTTATATGCCATGAAATGCACAAATCTTAAGTGACATTCACTGATTGTTGACTAATGCTTATGAGTGGGTTCACTGGAATCTTCATCACTGCTCGGTGAGTTGGTCTCTCTATGACACCCATTCTCCAGATGGGCAAAACTGGGACTTATGGCCAGAGGAAGTCACTCGCCTTGAGGCCACACCTGGGAGGCGCTAACCATGCCCGCTCCGCCACTTCCCTCAGTTCCCTCTTGGTGGTCCTTTGGGTGGTTTCCAGCCAATCGGTCATGATTCCCTACTCCTCCTAGCTGCGTTGAAACCCTGATTCCCTCCTCACCTGTCCTGTTCTCTGATAACGTTTCAGGTATTCACACTTGCTCAAAGACTCTAGATAGTGATAACCTCAGAAGCTTCCTCCTGATAACCTCCAGAAGCTTCCTTCCGAGGCGCAGCCTCGGGGCCTCAGGCAAGTCACGACCTGTATGAGCCTCAGTCTCCACACCTGTGAAATGGGAAGAAGAACAATAGATCACGTGTCCTTGGGTGCTGTGGGGATCAAGGGAGATCACATCCGAAAAGCATTTAGACAGCGTACAGGTTAGCCCTTAGTAAAGTTAACTTGTGCTATTATTATAATTATTGAAGAGCATGGCTTGGGCCTGGACCAGCTCCAGATGCTCCTGGGCCCTGGTGGGGAGCTCTCCTGCCTGGTCACCGCCAACTCCAGACCTGCGCCTGCTTGGGAAGGAGCTCTGAGAGTTGGTGGTGACATCCTGCAGGATCTGAGGCAGTGGGGCCAGGCCGAGCCGAGACTGCCCAGACTCCGAAGGACCCGCCACTCGGGCACATGTGGCCTCGTGGACACTCTCCTCTCCCAAGTCCTCCCAGCCTGGACAGCAACTGCTTCACAAAGCCCCGTCCCCCATCCAACCCTCCTAGCCTGAAGTCATCTTCATCCAACAAACGCGTGTTAAACTCCGCTGTGCGCGGTTATGTGCTAGACGATGAGAGTGTGGGCCCTAAAGTCGCACAGACCCGGGTTCGAATCCTGCCTCCACCACTGATCGGCTGAGCGTCAGTTTCCTCAGGCGTCCTAGAGTCCACGTGAGCGTAAGTTCCATCGTGCCCACACTGACTCTTAATTCAAGACACGAGGGGCCCGTTCCTGAGCGCTCCCTTCATTCTACAAACATTCCTCGAGCGCTTCCTAAGGGCCACGCGCTGTTCCAGGGGCTGGGGATTCAGAAGTGAGAAAAAAAAGGAAAAGGCAGACACCACTCCTTGCCAGCATCCTTGTGAGGGGAGACGAGGAGAGAACCTGGGCGTTCAAACGGGGAGCAGTGCTGGAGAGAGCAAGCGTTGTCCGACAGAGAGGGGACATTTGTGGCGAGACCTGAGTGACAAGAAGGAGCTCCCTGGGGCAATATGGGAAGAACATTCTAGTGGAAGGGAAGAACAGGTGCGGAGAGGAGAGGCCGCCAGCCCTGTCAGGAGCGGAAGCGCTGGGAGCCGTTATCTTATCTCTGCTGTTCCTCGAGACCTCACTCTTCCACTTTACAGATTTGAAAGCAGATGGGAGACAAGGTTTGTGGTGACCCCAACCATCTACCTGGACAGGGGATTTGAACTCAGGCGTCTCTGACCCCGGCCTGCCCCCTGAACCCCTATGGGACACGTCGGCTACCTCTGCACTTGGCTCCTCCCTAAGCAGAGACATTTCCTGCAAGGGGCCATCATTTATTGGGCCCTGTGATGACCAAGACCCTCCTGGCCCTGTCCTCTGGGGACTTACAGCCCAGAGGGGGAGACAGACTCATCCCAAGACAGTGATGACACAGAGTGAGCAAGGCTGGGATCGGGGAGCCCGGAAGAGATGCTTGGCCTGGCCTGGGCATCAGGGAGGGCTTCCTGGGGGAGGAGGCGTCACAGCCAGGATAGGAAGAGGTTGGACCAAGCCCAGGGAAAGACTATTCCAGGCAAAGGGAACAGTATGTGCAAAGCCCCAGAGTTGAGAAGACCTTGGAATATTCCCAAGCACAGATGTAACCCGGTCACTGCCCCCTCTGAGTGGTCTCAGTGGCTCTCCTCGGGATACAATCCAGACTCTCCAGCTGAGCATCGGTCTATTCAATAATTCATTCCTTCAGTCACTCAACAAACCACACCAAGAGACGTCACCGAGAATGAGGCAGTGAGGAACTGAGGCGGGGGGCAAGAATATTGAGAAACCAGGTGTCCAAGAAATATTGACAAGGAGGAAAGCATGGGGCGCAGAGGAGTGGGCACCACGTCATCTGGCAGGAAAGGCAGACGGTGATAAAACAGCCTCAGTTTCAGAGGCACCGACTCTGCGCGCAAATTCAGAGAATCTGCCCCACGTGGTCGCCAGCCGGAAGGAAAGCTGCGGCTTTGCGCGCCCTCAAGGGCACCGTGGAATCGTCTGTCTTACTGCTTCGCAGCTGAATGACCCCCGGCCGGTCGCCCCGTTCTCCAGCCTCAGTTTGCTGGGCTGTGAAAGGCGGCAAGCGGGAGCATCTGCCTGAGGGATGGTGGAGGGGGAGTCAGGCTCATGTGTCCAATGCTTCAGTCGGCGCCTGGTGAACCACGGCCTCGTGGCGCATTAAACTGTCACCACCCGCGGACATCAACGTTACATCTAAGGCC